AGTTCCAACTACTCGAGAATAAATATTCTTCACTGCAGCTCATATATTTTATTCCATCAAGTAAACCTTAAGAAACACACACAAAAAAATAGCTTCCTATATTTTAACAGACTATAATGGAATGAAACTAGAAATCAACAGCAAAAAAAAAAAAACTATAGAAAATATACAAATACATGGAGATTGAGTAATTCACTTTGAAATGATCAAACCAAGGAGGAAATTAAAACCTCCTAGAATCAAAAGAAAACACAAACATACTAGAATTCTGGGATACAGAAAAGGTAGTTTTTGTTGTTTTTGTTTTTGTTTTTTTAGCTTATTGAGACAAGTTCTTGCTATGCATTTGAGGCTGGCCTTGAGTTCACTTTGTAGCCCAGGTTGGTCTCAAATTCACAATGGATGGGTCTTCTTGCCTCAGCCTCCCAAGTGATGGAATTACAGGCACGTGCCACCATTCCTAGTTTGAAAGGGCAGTTCTAAAAAGGGGATGGGATTATAGCTACATTAAAAAAATCAGAGAAATTTCAAATAAATAAACAATTCATCTCCATGTCTTAGAAAAATAAGAATAAACCGAGACCAAACCTAACAGATGGAAAGAAATAATAAAGAGCAGGGCTAACATTTATAAGATAGAAACTAAAAAAATATTGCATAAGATCAGTGAAACATCAGTTCTTTGAAAAGATAAAGAATGATAAGCCCTTAAACCAAACTACCAAAAGAAAGAGAAGAACTAAATAAATATACTTGGAGATGAAAAAGCACTACTGAAATCCAGAGGGACTACACTGAAAACTTACATTCTAATAAACCGGGGGATATGGAAGGGATGGATACATTTCTAAATACATATGACCTACCTAAACTCAACCAAGAGAATATAAAAACACCTAAAAACATTGATCAGAAGTAAAAGTCTCCTAACAACAACAAAAAAAGGCCCAAACTCTATAGATGGTTCACTGGTAAATTTTGTTAGACCTTTAAATTATTAATATCAGTATTCTTCAAACTCCAGTAATACCTCATTTCACAACTTAATTCATTCCATGATTCTGGAAATGATACTACATTTGTGTTCATGGAGAAAAGATGGCCATGGTCATATTCTTCACCCGATGCAGACTTCACAAACAAAAACAAAATTCTGTCAAATATTCTTGTTTGCAAACCAAATTTTTCCACAAACAAAAGCATTCACAAACAAGATACCACTGTATTCCATAAAATAGAAACGAAAGGAACATTTCCAAACTGAATTCTATGAGGCCAAAATCACCATGATACCAAAGCTGGGCAAGGATAACACACACATACACACACACACACACACACACACACACACACCTATGGACCAATACAATTGATGAATATAGATGTAAAAATATTTAATAAAATACAGAGTGAATGGCACAACAAATTTAAAAAACCATATGCCATGGTCAAGTTGATTTCATTCCAGAGAAGTAAGGATGTTGCAACATACACTAATCAATAAACATAATATACCACATAAGTTGAGTTGATACAAATCACATGATCATTTCAATTGACACAGATAAAGCGTTCAACAAAATCCAAGATTGCTTCATGATAAAAGCTGCAAAGAAACTAGTTACTAAAGGATGCTGGAAGAAAAGGAACGCTTCCACATGGCTGCTAGAAATGTAAATTGGTGCAGCCACCACTGAAATTATGGAAGTTACTCAAAAAACTAAAGTAGTGCCATATCAATCCTTGATATACACCCAAAGGAGTCAGGTAGCATATAATATGGATTCATGCATGCCCATGTTTATTGCAGAATAATTCACAATAGTAAAGATAATGGAACCAGCCTAATTATCAACAGATGAATGAGGAAATACACACACGCATGCACGCTCGCACACACACACATAATATTCAGCTTTACAGAACAATGAAATTGTCATTTGTGGAAAAATGGATGGATCTGGTGACCACCAAGTTGAATAAAATAAGTCAGGTTCAGGAAAATACTGCATGTTCTCACTATTATGTAGAATATAAAAAAGAAAATAAAATAATATAAATAATATAAAAAAGAAAATAAAAGGGTCACTACTATTAGATAAGAGGAAGAAAATAAGGGCCATGGGAGAGGTGTATAACAGAGGATAACAGGAAGGTGGATAGGATCCAAACACCAAAACCCAATTTTAAAGAAGTTAATAGGTATTAATAATAAAAAGAAAAATAATATTCGTATATAGCCCCCAAATACAAAAAATAAAAATAAAAATTACAGACTTAAAATACTGTATTTTAAACCCCAGCTTACCTTAGCAAAGTCTTTGAAAGTTAACTGATCAAATATATGTATTTTTACATTTTAGTATCATTAGTTTATGCACTTAAGAAAATACTATATAATTATACTATCTTTAAAAATAAAATAGAGTGTCATTTTGCTATATTCAAAATAAAATTGGTACTCTGAATTGAAACATTCAATTCTTGAACAGAGATGAAATTATGTCTTATATAGTCACTACTTTTTAAATGTAACCGCCACATTTACTTCTTCTTTTGTTCTTCTTCTGGCATCTACGATATCCCACCTTGTATCCTCCATTTGAAAGAACTTACTTTCTTCATGAAACACTTTTTCAAAAGTACTTATTTAAGAATTTCTTTGTGCTATTGGTATGGCAGTCAGAGTTCACCCAGAAATAAGAACCAGTAGGAAATTTTACATAGACACATACACAAACACAGACAGACACATAGACCCCCCCACACACACACGCACACACATGATTTATGACAAGAAACTGGCTTGTATAACTGTGTAGGATGCCTAGGGCAGTCTGAGGATGACAGGAGAAGCAATCAATAAAGAATCATAGGCAAAATGGAACCAAGGGCAAGGGCTGAAGGCTGTTTTCCACAGATTGAATTTCTCTCTCTTGAACATCAGGATCCTGTCTTTAAAGCATTCCTAATGATTCAGACAAGTCAACCAACGAAATTACCAGCAATAACCAGATTATCAACAATACATGAATAACATCAATAAAGTCAACACGAGGGGTTAATTCAGTTTTTGTTGGGAAATGTCTCCACGTCACTTATATATACCAACCTCTGTTTTCTCTCAATACACTTGGAGGATGTCATGCAGAATTTTCTGTACTCCATTGTTGCTGACATTAAGTTAGCTTGGTCGATATATTGTTACTTTGAAGGTAATTTTTTACAGAGTATCTACAGAGTACTATGCACCATGCTGAATGTATACATACTAATGCACAAAAACTTTACCACCACTCTGTTTTGTAAGTGGCAATATTCTGTTTTAAAGGAAAAGAAACATATACTCATAAATAGACAAATATTAAGTAACAAAGACTAACCTAACTTTACCTAATTCCTAAAATTTACGTTCCAAAAATGGAATTCAAAACCAAATGCAAAACATTAGTATGCAATTTCTTTACTATACTGCATTAACTTCGTCCAATGTTAACAATTTAGCTATAGAATTTCATCAACAAAGAAAAGTAAGAAATTTGATATTCTATACACTTATTTAATCCTTTACCAGTATAAAATGTGATCTTCACAAGGCATTTTTCATAATGGAAAATAGTATCTCCTCTTGATAGATTATGAATATAATAAAGCACTAATTTTTAACTCAACAATAATGTACTGTATATCTGGTGTAAGACTGCACTGTGTTTACTTCGGCATTTATACAGCCCTATCACTTGGTCCTCCTGACAACCTTGGAGTAATTCAATATCAGCTTGGAGATATCTGGGGACAAAGATCTCCAAGGCAGACAACTATCTTTAGAGTTGATCCTGAAATGTATGCTCCTGAAGCTTGTATATATGATAATAGAAGCCTTGTCTTAAGGTAAAAGTTTACATATTCGAAGACAGCTATATTAGCAGAGTATTTTTTTTAACCTCAGGTTATTTTTTTAAAACCTCCTACTATAAATAAAAGATAAAAGTAATATAGAATACAGTTAATAAGACTAATTTGCTGCAATGATGATTTTCTTAGCAATCTGAGGGTTAAATTATATGGTGTTTTTCCCCTTTAGAAGTTCAAAGAAATTTGTATTAGGATGGCAGCTACTCAAGGGCATTATAAGTTTATCCTGGCCTTAAGCAATATTTATGACATGTTTTAAAACTTTGTTATATACTGAATTCACAAAGTTAACTTTATTTTTTTTACAAAGTTAACTTTATAATTACTGTCAGAGAAACGAGTATTAAGAATTTAATTTAAATTATATAAATAGATGATCCCAATTTAAGAGACTTGCTATTATTCTACAATAGGATGAAAGTGCATTTAAAACTTCTAAATTCTGATGTTAAACTTTTGCTTTTGTGAAGTAGCAATTATATTTTCTGAACTAAAACTCAAGACATACAATGTAAATGTAATGTTCTCAATTTTGAATTTTTGGCTAAGAAAGTTCACACAAAGTTTAAAACATTAGTTAAATATTCTTATTTTATCCAATATTTTATAAACTGGATTACATTAAAACTTTCTAGTTTATTTACCTTGTCAATGGGAGACTGACAAGGTAAATAAGTCCTTCTAAGTATTATTATTATTATTACTATTACTATTATTTTGTTACGAGATATCAAACTTAGGATCTCATGCTTGCCTGGCAGGTGCTGCGCCACTGAACTGTATCACTGGCTTCTAAGACACTTTAAACTAGTTATGTTGTTTTTGTTTCTATAGATGTTCATATTTCTTCATTGAAACCCTGAGCTGAACAACTTTTTATGAGGAATTTTTTAACAGCAAAGTTATTTGGCTTTATTTCTGCAGTGTTATTCCGTAGCTACCTAAGAAGTTATAAAAGAAAAGAAAATTTCCTAAAATTCAGGGAAAGATTCTACTTAGGGTTTAGACACAGTTTCAGAGTAATAAAAACGTGTAACAATGATAATATTCTGTCATAGACTAAAAACATACAGGTCCACTCTTACCTGCTTAAAAAGCTGAAGGTTAACTGCTGATTGCAAGAACTGTTTCATCACACTTGAGCGGTGCTTTACGAAACTCTCCTCACAAAAAGTAATGGGCTCACCCTAGACAAAAATAAAGATGTTCAGGGCATCAATGAATGTTCAGTCAGAGAGAACTAGTCTCTTTACAAAGGCACAGGGAGTGTTCTAGAGAAGTATAAGATACAGATGCAATAAATAGATCCTTATATGTAATAGCTGGCTATCAGGTTAACAGAAATATTTCTGTTCTGAAAAATCCCCCTTCCAATCGTTCATCCTTATTAGAAAATACCATTATAGCCATTGGTGAATAGTTTTTCCATGTATATTAGTAATGATCACGATTTTTTAAATTAATGAAATGTTTTTATGGTCAAGACTTCACAATTACAAATACAATTCTATTATATATATTTTAGCATAAATCTCACTTGGCATCTGCTTTTTTCTATCCTTCATGCTAAATAATCATCTCTGTGTCTTTCATAGTTCTACTATTGAAGTAACAATTATGTTTTCTGAACCAAAACTCAAGACATACAATGTAAATATAAATTTTCTCTTAATTTTGACTCTGTGGCTAGAAAAGTTCATACAAAGTTAAAATGTTAGTTAAATATTCATATTTTATAAACTGGATTACACTGGAAGTTCCTCCTCCAAATCAACAAAGACTTAAATTTGTAGTCTTATAGATTCCACTTGTTCTACTTACTATTGTGAGACAGAAAATTATCACTCACTGGTTGATTTTTTCCCCTGCTGTTCCCCTCATCAGCCTAAATGGCTCCCTTGCCCACTGAACTGTATTAGTTAAGTGTAATTTATAATTGAAATGAAAACAGAGCACAATGACAATAATTTTTTCAGTTTGCAATGAATCTTATTGCAGAGAAAGGAAAATGTGAGCCTGTTCACCTTCTATTAGATAGATATATGTAAGCAACACCATAGATTTATTCAGCCAAAAATGCAGTAGACATTAGTAACAAGTTGCTACTAAGGACAAGTCTATTAAGATTAAATAAAATTAAAGTTGATTTCTATAAATTCAGTCATAAATTCAGTTCATTTCTATAAATTTACATCTGAAGTTCTCAACAGTCATGTATGGCTAATGGCTATTATACTCATGGCACCAATATAAACTATTTCCTTTAGCATAAAATTCTCTAGTAATAATAAAGAACACAAGTCTATGATACTAGAATTTTAGAGGAAAAAACAAACTTAATAAATAGTGCTCTAAATACACAGAAGATTCAAGTATTGGCATCCATAGGAGTCTCAATTCTTATCATGCTTTGAGTATATACAATTATAAATAATCCCATCATATGAGTTCTTTCACATTAAAACTAAGCTGAATTGCATAAGAAAAAGAATTCTGCCTAGGATCTTAAAGTCAGTTTGAGTTTGGAGTTCACGTGACTTGCTACGTTGTTAGTCATTTGATGGCAAAATCAATGACTCGATTATAAATTGATAAGCAGCAGTATTTCTAAAAGTGTAACCCAGACCTTCTCACAGCATCTGCAATATCAAAACTATTTTCATAATAATGCAAGACACTATTTGCCCTTTTTACTGTCAATTTCTCATGAGTCCTACTGGAGTTTACCAGGGCTACATAACTTGCAGTACTGCCACAGTCTAAATACAGTATTAAATGATCAGAATAAGCATCCAGTAACTGGGCTGGGGATATAAGTCAGTGGCACACAGCCTGCCTGGCAAGCATGAGGTTGTATCAAAATAAAACACACAAAAAAATATATAAAAAAATCCAGCAACTCCTATAAGAAATTTAAGGAATTTTAAAAAATGAAAAACAGTTTCATTGTTATAACTAAATTTTTAATTTAGAAGTATAGTCATTTTTCTTTACAATATGCTTTATGGTGGTACACATATATTAGTCTGTATTGCTGTTTTAAAGTATTTAAATATTTAACTTCTAATATTTTAAATAAAGATGGATTAACCCTACAAATATATAATTCTTTAATATCCTCAATAATTTAAAGTAGTATAAAGACATCCACAGACCAAAAAGTTTGAGAAAGAAAGAAGAGGTCAAACATGACTTTTCAGATTTCTTGGTTGAGGTTACAAGGTGATATTATTTGATACTGGAAATACAAAAAGATAACTCAGTTTAAGAAGAGGTTGATGAAATCAAATTTGACCTGTATTTTAAGTCCTGTTCTATGCTGAGCCTGAGACAGGAAATTTTGTTCAATTGTTTTGTTGGTGTATTATTCTCAGCAAAAAGGTATTAAGGTAAATGAAAATGAAGAAAAAAGCAAAGCAACGTGATCCCACCTAGAGCTCAGTCTTAACCTAATTCCACGGAAAACACTGATTGTTTTACAGAGTTGATCCCACCTTGGGGCAATAAAGCCAGCTTTTTACACCCCTTAACATAGAACATGGTATTCCCAGTGGAGACAGAATTGAGGAAGAACACATGGGCTTCCCAATGTGGCAATTCTCATTTGGCAATGAACAATTTCTCACTGACAGGACCACTAGACAGGATGGGGAGTCTAGGCAGTGCATCAACAATATCGATCACAGCATGGTAACGCTAGGTAGAGACAGTGAGCACAGATGGGGCAGGGGAAAAGGATCAGCTGGTTGAAACATAAATACTTTCCATATAGAGAAGAAAATGGGAAGAAGTTTGTAGACAATTTGAGAGGGTTTTTTTAATTGTTTTATTAATGTGTTTGGTATATATTATATCTTGATCTTTTTATTTTGTCTTCCTTTCCTCCTGTCCACACCCCCGCAACCCTGGGAATCTCAAAGTCTATCTCCTTATTTTCTACTATCTTTTTTTTGGTCTTTTTTATACTTTCTTTTTCTCATACAAGGAATAAAAGGGTTGTTGACCCAGACCAGACACTATAGCCAGAAAAAGCCTCAGCCGCAATCAGGGAGCTCCTGTCTCCCCCGCCCCTAGAGATTTACCTATAACCCCTATATCCCCCCATCCTTTGGATCTGACCCTGACGCCAAACGTGTGCCAGTGAAATACCTGTGCATCTCCATGTTCTCAGAATAAAGGCCTCTTTTTGTTTTATACTTTTCATCTTTTGGAAATAATCCTATCATTTGGTGAAGTGACTCGATCGGCAGGTGATTGACTCCTGGGACACACACACCCAATTGGGTCCCCAGCCAATTCACGAACTGGTAACATCCTGGCTTAATTCTGCGCTTTTTCTTCTGCCGAGACGCATTTCACTTCTCACTGGCCGCCTCCATGCACCACCAACCAGATTGATTTAAGGTGACCACGCGCCGGGAAACTCGCGGCACTGGGCCAGGCCCCAGGGAACTGTTCCCCGCCGTTTGCGTGGGTCTCTAGAATTTTCACATCCTTAGGACAGCCCTGAGCAGGGTTTTTTTCTGGGCTAGCCACTAAAATCTCTCAAGTTCTTTGGGTTCTGATAGCCCAAAGCAGAGATTTGGACCGCCCACACTGAAAAATGCCTTGCTTCCCTTTAAAGCCTTGTGCTTTCACCGGCAAAGCTGCTACTGACTTCCCGCAAACTCCACTTGTAAATTTCTCAGTGACGACTAGAATATACGAGTTTTTGGAACCTTAGTCCCCCGTGTGGCGCCACAGAATCAGTGACGGCTTATTCTCTGGGCCACAGGTTTTTTTCTTACCTGAATCATGGGAAATATACTTCCTCACTCCCAAAAAACGCTGTTAAATGCTTAATTTCCAATTTATATACTTTAAAAATTAAAAGTACCATAAAAACTAAATTATTAACTTTTTACTTCCAGGAAGTTTGGCCTACGTACCCACTCCTCGGCAAACGTTGGCCCAGGGAGGAACATTTGATGCTTCCATTCTGCAAACACTGCATGATTTTTGCTGAGCCAGTGACAGGGTGATAGAGCTGCCAAACATAGAAGTGTTCTTGGTTCTGAGAACACATCCATCTCTCATTAAGTCTTGTACTCCCTAGCTAGCTCTCCTGCGACCCAATGTGTTTCATCCTGTCCCCAGGATATGCTTGACGATATTCCTCCAATTTTCTCTCGGCCCCCAGCATATCCCCAAATTGATTCTTCATCCTTATCTCGCTCACCACTGCCGTCCCCTCCCCCCACCCTTGTCCTTCTGCACCGAAATTACCTCTCACTGTGCGATCCTCTCTCCCCCCACCTTCCACGATACAGGCCTCTCCCAGCAGCTCTGCTCTGCCCTCTGACACCTTCTCGCCGCCCGCCCACCACACTAGGTCACGTTCATTGTGCCCTTCCGGCAAGCAGCGTGACTTTTCCAGCTTGCGCTGGGAACAGTCACCACGTGATAGCCCTCTGCAATGCAACGGGGCGCCACATGTTTGGGTAGTTGCCGCAGCGATGGGGCGCCGCCATGTTCAGAGGGGTCACATGGCGACAGGATGCCGCCATGTTTGGTCAGTTACCATGGTGACAGGGTGCCATCATGTTCGTTCTGGTCTCAGTCAATGGGCGCCCCCTTGATGCTCCTCTTGTGAACAGCAACAGCCGCCTGGTTGCGGTCCACGTGATGATGGCCAACAACAATCCTCTCGCTGGAAGGCACACGGTGCAATGTCATCTGCCTGTGATTCCTTGTCCCAGGGTGAGAGGCAGCTGCTCTGTAGCCACTCTTCAGATAATTACTCACATGCATCTACCGGGCAGATAGCTGCCCAATGGCATTCTACACTCCACATTCTTCTCCTCAGGCTCTGCTACCGCTTCGAGAACAAGCTGGCCCAGAGGGGCTGGGCAATATCCATGTGCCATTTCCCCTTTCTGATCTGTCTCAGATTACCCATAAATTAGGTAGCTTCTCTGTTGATCCACAAAATTATATCAGGCAATTTGAATTTCTCACTGTTATGATTTACATTTTAAAGATGTTTATGTGATTTTAAATACCACCCTTAGCTCGCAAGAGCGAAATCAGCTGTGGCAGGCAGCTCAAGAAGAAGCTGACCGCAGGCATAGGGCAAATACCACTGACAACGACCCTGGGCCTGTAGCTGTGCCAGACCAAGATCCTAACTGGAACTATCAAAATGGAC